GTGTGTGTGTGTGTGTGTGTGTGCGTGTGTGTGTGTGTGTGTGTGTGTGTGTGTGTGTGTGTGTGTGCTTGTGTGGTGTGATTATGGGGTGGGGGTGGAAAGAAGCTGAGGGGGTGTAGGGTGGGGAAGGCACAAACAGGATTTATGTTTCTCATTACGGGCAGTGTCAGGGCGCCTTGAGGGGGAAATGCCACGCCCGGCAAAGCTACAGACCCAGCAGGGAACGATCCAGCAAGGAAGCAAAAGGGAATGTTACTTTTGACACATGGGAAGATGGCCCAAAGTTTTCTCACGATTGCAAGTATCACAAAGCAAATGCACGTGCATTCTTTATTATGATAGTAAGCGCTATATTTAGAAATGAAAAAAAAAACTTGCTTTGTATAGGGTTCACTTCAAACAAGGAGAACGAACTCTCGGCACCAGCGCGCAGGAAATGACAAGCTTGTGAATTCCTCTTGCAGACAAGGAATATATACAATATTGTACACATGCGGTTCCCATGCTCCAGCTCTACGGAGGGTGATGTTAGATTTTTTTCTTCAGGTTCGAGTCCAAATAACGCTGGCTGAACAGCTCAAAGGACAAACCTCGGACAAACGGTGTACCCCAGTTTGATAGGTTATTATAGCTGTCATGATTTTGGGGTTGTTTCTTCTTTTTTTCCTTAATTGAGTTACTAGGGATATCGAAAGTGAGGGGACGGGCTGAGGAGGAAAAGGGGGGGGGGGGGCTGATCCTGTGATTTAACGTCCCTCCGGCTCCTGTAGAAGAAGTCAGTGACACAATAATAGCCTGCAGTCCTCAACTTTTTGCTGTTGTTGTTATTGTTGTTGTTGCGCCATGGACCCGTTTCATATTGGCATTTTCACGGACCAGACTTCAAGGTGCGGTGATTAAACAAAAAAATATTTATTCTACCAGCATGAAAATAATTATCTAATAATACACACAATAATATTAAGACAAATGTAAAATACACAGAAAAACACAATTTACCTAACTCAGTATCAGTGGAAACTCTAAGAAACCGTCCTTTTTTTCAAAATCAAACGTCTTTCCGATGAACTGTTTAATTGATTATTATTAAACGGACAATGTAATTATTTTTCCTGTGCGGACCGGTCAAGACCCACGGGCAGATTTAGAGACCATTGCGTTAAGCCGATTTTCATTGTTTGTTACTCGATTCATCATCATCCAGTGCCAGATCAGCGACAGACATTGTCGATCATGGTTCCCCATTCATTCCTTTGCTCGGATGCGCTTTAAAAAGCTGTGTTTCCCTGATCTTTCCCTGTTACCCCTTTGTTTAGGTTTCCCACGTAGATTGTTCTGGGCCTACCCCTGCCTCGTTTGCATTCAATTTTGCCAGTGAGAGCTAGATGTTCAAGACCCTTATGTCTATTCAGGTGTCCCGAGAACTGCATAATTTGTCGTTTCCTGATTGCTTTTAACATTGAGCGTCCCACGTGGGCTTCATCAGGCACTACCTCATTTGACTTCTTTTCCTTCCATTATACTCTTTGCAGTCTCCTAAGAAACCATATTTCTGTTGCTTCTATTTTATTTTCACTGTCTTTAGTGATTGTCCAGCATTCACAGCTATAATAGAAGGGTTGACCATACATAGCATTTCAGAACTTGTGTTTTGGTGGTCATTGAGATGTTTCTATTTTTCAGGATTGGGCTCATTTTATTGAAACTAGCCTTAGCCATTGTAATTCTCCGTTTTATTTCGGTGGAACATTTGACATCAGATGTTATCGTATATCCTGTCGGGCTTGTTTGATCTTTTCACCTTTGCTAATGAGGTTACAACTCGATTCAGACAACTTTATTATGATTTATTATGTTCATGGAGCAGCAACAGTTACAGAAGTGAACAAAGCTTTGTTATTTTCAAGTGTATTTGGAGGGAGCAACTTCTTTCTTTCCCTTTATTGTTTCTATCTCGCTTTTTTCCTTAACTTTAAATGGCCGATATTGTGGCGATGTGCTTCCGTTATTGTAGTCTTCATTTGCTGGTGAAGTCAGTGTGTTTGATGGTGGAAGTGATGATGATGGGGATGGCGTTTTTAGAGCCTCAAGAAAAAAACAACAACAACCAGCAAATCATGACACACTGAATATAATTTTATAATTCCATAGACATCATACAATCGTAGTAAAAAGCAATAGTTGTGACCACATGATAACTAAAAGCGATTGTGTATAGCAGGGATAGACTGTAAACGTCAGTGTTTGGAATGTAGAGTGGGAGTTGGGTAGTTGACAAGACTGTCCACATGAACCATGAAGGGGAAATGAGCGTACATCGACGGGTCGTTTTGAAAACACATAAATCACAAAAATATGGTTACTTTCACATTGACTGTATGCTTTGGTCTCTGATTTAATGGTATCTTTGTTCCTGGTGGTCGAGTTAAAATGTAGAAAAATATCAGACAGGTTGAAAAGAGGAATCACATGAATGAAAACATTGATATTTATTGTTGTTGTTCCCAGTGGGAAGCAGAGGTTCCTCGCTTGCATGTCAATATGAGACGTTGATAAATACATCACAAGTGTCGCCCTACCCACTCTACATGGCTTTTTAGTGTATTTAATCTCCATTCTTTTACCTGTATATTTGAGCTAACATTCACACACACACACAAGAGTACATTTCATTGCGAATATTTGTTCGATAGTTAGAAATTGTGCAACTCAAGACAATATAAAGGTTTGGTCAAAACATTGATCGAGAAAACATAATGGGGAAGAGGATTTTTAAATACTTGAACATGTTGAATTCAGAGAAAACATTTTCCCTTGTCCTTCCATGTCATCTCTTTACACATTTGTCATTCTTCACTCACCAAGATGGCATTCTGTGATATTAATTTTTTAAGCCACTCTAACAACAGAAGACTGTCTGCCTTCAAAAGAAACTGGGAATATAGGCGTTTGTCGGAGTCTTGCACACAGCCTTCACATATTTCCCGAATGGAATCTACAAACATCCACCTGCTTTGCTTTTTTCACGTTTTCTCTAAAAACATGAGCTTCTCATTATTAAGCAAGGGAAAAATCAAATGCTATCAACTTTTTGGCTACGTTTGATCGAGTTGAGGAAAAACTGTCAGCCAGACATGTCAAAGGAAATTCAACAAGAATAAACATTTGTCTTCTAAATTTCATCCACGTTGCCTCTCATTCTCCATCCTTTCTATAAACACAATAAGTCTGCTGTCCCATAGCGCTAAATATAGAGCCTTTAAGTATTAATTGTTTATCTAGGATAATATATTTATGTGAAAGAAATAAGGAGACAAGTGTCTAGGGAGTCCGGAAGGATTTGTCTTAACACCTCCACTGCTCAGATATTTTCCTCAACGTTTGTACAAACACAACATGTTCATTCAAGACAAGAAAGACTTAAACAAAGCCAAAGTATATTTTTCCTTATTTAAGAATAAACAACAGGACGGTCGTAATTGTATCTCCGCAGACTTCCCTTGTAAATTAGAAGACGAAACGACTGAGACCCAGTTTTGGAGAACACACATATAATAATATACACGTCTACACAGTTGTGAAGAGGTTCAGCCGAAGAGACTAGCCTTGAACGTTTCGGCGATCAAAATTTAATTATTGAATGATTGATCATCTGACTGACCCAGAGAAACAAACTCACTTGTTGAGTCATTGTTCTTTGTCAAAATTCGTCCGACAAAACGGGTTAACAAAACTCCAAAAGATTGTTGTTATTGATTACAGCCATTATTTTCTTTTTTCTTTTTGGGTTTTTTTGTTTGTTGGTTTGTTCAGATTTAAAGAGCTCACTTCAAGGTTGTTTTTGTGTAATTCTGTGACGTTTTATATAATAACAATAACATATTACTGGGCAATCTCTTCCTCATCGGAAGGAAGGTGGAGGTTTCTCTTATGCGAGTCAATCCACATTGTAACTTGTGACTTTTATGTTCACCACTTGCTTATAGCTTGTCGAGATGGGCTTTTCCTTGAAGCACGTGATGCAGAAGCGTTTGTCCTTTTCTCTGACGGTGTCATAATTTCTTTAAGTCGTGCCTTGACCCGGGCTGAGCGGACCCTGGCGCGAACTGGAGAAAGTGCCGCTGTCCCTTCTTTGGAGGTCTCTTTGTCACGGGTACCTGACCCCAGAGATTTGCTGCCTCTGTCAGATCTTCGTGTGTACTTCTCAATTTCTGTTAAAATTTTTTGGAGATGGGGCCCGTTCCACTGCTCTTGACCAAGATTGTCCTACGGGGGTGTAAAACGAGAACAAAATTACACCAGGAACCAGAAGTAAATAACTGAAGAGCATACTGCTATTACTACAAAGTGACTAAGCTTTCCAGATATTTTACTATGTATAGCTTTGATCCAGCAGTTTTATATATTTATTATGGCATGTTAATACTACATGTTTCTTTCTGGCAGAATCCGATATTTTATCATAGGCTCATTTTATGTTGGGGGAGGGGTGCATTTTTCTGTTCTATAGTTTGTGTTAAACAGAGTATACTCAATGAAGGAAAAATCTGAGAGTGTGGCCATTACAATTCTTACCTTCCACAGCTCAAAGCACGAAAGCTTAGACATGATGTCCCTCAATGGGCCTTCAAGAGGCCACGTGATTTCCTCTACGGCGACAGGAATGATGCGCTTCTCGAGAGTTCGAGCTAAACTGATCTCCCGACGACAGTTTGTCGCCACGGCGTACTTCTGGCTTACACAGGCCACGACCAGCTGGCACGTCCTGAGACCGGTCTCTGCTTTTTCAAAGAGACTGTCCCCGGCCCCCATCTGTTGTACGTCCGTCCAGCACGTTAGTCCACGTGACGTCAAGATGTCTGTTAGATGCAGTGCATGTTTCCGACTGCTCCACTGGTAGGATATAAAGACATCAGGCGTCTTTGCCACCTGTTGTATTAGTATAAACTGCTTTCAGTTTTGCAAGTAAACAATTCAGTTCTGGAGAGCCCAGAACAAATTCTGCAAACAATTCAAGCACTGAACTGAAATATACGTCGTGTCTGTACGTGTGAATCCTCTTATTTGTAAAGGTTTTTCAAAGAGTTATGGCTCTGATGCAAAATTCTTTCAGATCCTCTATTTAATAGAATTGAAGTCATTTTTAAATGATCGTGATTATGGTAGCATGTTATTGTTTCCATGCCAAACACCTATCACTCATGTTGTCCCCTTTTTTACTGTTAAAAATCCAAGAAAAGAATGACATTCTTCTATTTCCGTGTTATAATTGTTCCACTCTCTTTCTTAAAGGTATAACATGGTATCCGGTTACTAACAACTAATAATTTTGCTTTACGTTTCCTTTTTGTTTGTCAGCCTTCATGATTATCTTTACTCAAGCACACATATGACTTCTCAAGCTACGTGCAACCGAATAAATGAATTCATTATGAAATTGTCGCTATCTAGCATTTACAGTTACTTGCCCTCAATCCTTGCACCTTGCGAAGTTAACATATCAAAGGTTTGCCTTGCCCTCCCAGTCATAGCACGTCTTTGGTCTACACAATTCCTTTATCAAGTAAACTCACGGAAAGCAACAATTCATCAACTAAAACTACTCTTTTCTCTGTACAGGGAACTCACTGCAGCTTGTTCAGCAATCTTCCTAGAGACAACCTTTGGCCTGGATGTTTCAACAGAGGACCCAGTCGTCTTCGTGGATATAGCCCTCGGTCTTGATGGTCCTACTGTGAGTCCTGTCGTCTTTGGCTCTCCCACCACTGTCTGCTCCCACCATCTCTGGTACTCTGGTAAAATAAAAACGGTTGTTGAGTTGATTTCATTTCTGTATGAAGGATCTTGTAAAAACCAGATATGTGCCAAAGAAAACAGTTGTTCGCGTACTTTGTCGAAATAAGAGATACTGGCCTGAGCGTCAAATTAAGATTTAATTCCTTTTAAAATGATTTTCAGATTTTTTTAACGAAAATGAAAAACTTGACTGCCCCCCCCCCCCCCCCCCTTTTTTTTTCTTAGAAGGTAATAGGATCACATAAAGTGTTATCCCGATCATGCAAGTTGTGATTATGTTTTTGGCGTTTTTCTTTGACAAAAAAACCATTTAAAGAACTCTTGGGTAAAAAGAAATCCAACTAAAATCGAATGTCCTTTGAGGTACTTGTTTAAAAAGTATTCCTCTCCCAGACTACTTCCACCTGTTCAAGCAGCAAAAAATGTACACCCTCTCTTTGACAAAGAATTTTGCTGCTTTTAGGCCAGCCTTTGTGGTATAAAATTATGTGTGTGGGTGAGTATGGGCGATAGAAGGAAAGCTGTTTTTCCTCCGTGGTATACCACAGAAAAAATGTCGATGGTGAGAACAAGGGGAGTAGCGTAACCAGCTCTTCAATACCACAAGAAATAATTATCCTGAGCAACCAACACTCAAAAATGTCTCCATCATGGTTTTGAGGAGCGATTTACGGTGCCCACTTGTTTTCGAATGTTCGTTACTGCAGGGCGATTTCACCCCCCCCCCCCCTCTTATTTTTCTTTGTTTGCTTGTCTCTTTCTCTCTCTCTCTCTCTCTCTCTCTCTCTCTCTCTCTCTCACACACACACACACACACACACACACACACACACACACACACACACACACACACACACACACACTCTCTCTCTCTCTCTCTCTCTCTCTCTCTCTCTCTCTCTCTCTCTCTCTCTCTCTCTTTCTCAAACTCTATAAGATTGATTATTTCTTTGGCGACTCACTCGTTCTCACGCGTTCTGTTTGGGGTTCCACTCCAAGACACAGGAGTTGCATGAGCAGCTCGTAGAATTTCTCCGGAGGCCACAACGTTCGTTCGCCCCTTTCCTCGGCCCTCTTGAAGAAGCGAATGTAAAGTAACTGGCTGAACAGAGGTCCCATGCTGCCTTTTGGGGGCCATTCACAGCTCTCCAGTAGCAGAGGGATAGTTGGTTTGTTTATGCTTGCAGCGAAGTTCACCTGGTTTAAAGAGGCATACGTCGACTATGGGAATTATGGAGGTAGAGATGAAGTGTAAGGCATCCTAGTGATACCCTCCAATTGCCTACAGACTGACATGATAGCTGAATGTACAGTACATTATTGCATATAGCCACAGGGTGGCATTTTCTTACTCAATATACGATTAACATTTAAAGTCAACACATTACATGTAAAGAAAGATAGAAACGAACGGAAAGAGGAAGTGAGAAAGAGAGAGGGGGGCGGAGAACGGGAGGGGGAAAGAGAGAACAGGAGAGGAGAGAGAAGAAAGAGAACGTGAGACAGAAGGATAGAATGCCTCTTTGTTTTTGCGCGTATGCTTGTAAGTATATTGCTCTCTCTCTCTCTCTCTCTCTCTCTCTCTCTCTCTCTCTCTCTCTCTCTCTCTCTCTCTCTCTCTCTCTCTCTCTCTCTCTCTCTCTCTCTCTCTCTGTATGTGTGTGTGTGTGTGTGTGTGTGTGTGTGTGTGTGTGTGTGTGTGTGTGTGTGTGTGTGTGTTTCTTTGTACATGGCGTGTTGCTCATGTTCGTAATATGGAAATGATCATGTTGCGTGTGCCTGTTGGTATCCACCACTGCCGTTATCTTAATGACAACAGCAACGTTATCTCGTGGCCGCCCTCTATCGTAGCAGGATAACAGATAATAGTTCCACACACCACTCTCTTATGTGCTTTAATGGCAACTTATAGTTCTTCATTTAAAAAGACCATATAGAAGTCTAAAGGTTTCTTTCATATTTTTAAAGCATGTCAAAGGCATAGAGAATGAACAATGAGCACAATGATTTCACTGTCAGAGAAAAACACTATGGTGCACGCTCTAGTGAAGATTTACCGTTGTATTACTGTGCAACAGCACTTAGCTGCAGCTAAATAGAAAGTAAAAGACAGAGAGAAACTCAAAACACAAGCCTAAATAAGTTCTTCTGTGAAGGTTGAATAGCCCAGAATCATTTTTAGTTTTGAAAACTTTTGGCTCACAATATTTGGCATCAGTTAGTTCTAACGGATCCTTAGGTTGACGTATTTGTGATGTATCAACTGTTCTATGCGGCCTTCATATCTACCATAGAAGTCTTGGGGGAAAAGCGTGCTAGCGGCTTAATTTTGTCAGTTGCTAGCCTAAAGGGGGTATGGTAACATTTTGCATTCTTGTACCCCACCACTCGCTCTCTGTGACCTTTGAATGACCTTCAATCAACCCCCCCCCCCCAACCCCCCAGATAATGTCAGTCTCCAGAGCGTGAGGCAGAGACTACACTCAGATCCATCAATACCCCTATGTTAGATTTAAAAGTTAAAGCATGACATGACATAGGTAGGCAGATATGTCAGTAAGGATCATAGTATTACACTCTTATACCTAATTCTGTCACGGACTTACATTAACGTGTCGTTATCACCTCTTAAATATCCAAGGTACACTGAAGAGAAAGTTTGAGACAAATAATGTTTAACAAAAACAAATTATACAAGCACTTTACTTCTCTGTTACAGTTTGGCGACTTGGCATACTTGTCAGTCACACAACTGAGTACGACCCGAGCCCGGCGGATTCCGCTGTCAATCTTCTCAAAAAGTTTATCACCCCCTCCCATTTGACCAATGTCCAGCCAACAGGTGTGGCCTGCCATCTCCAGGTGTTGCACGATTTGTTTGACCTCCGCTTGGTGAGCCCATTGATAGCTGACGAAGATGTGCGGTGGAGAGGTGTACTCGAAGTCTTCACTTTCAACAACGGCCTCTGCAAAGAGTATCATAAATGTGGTAACCGATTTCATAAGAAGCGATGGAAGAGAGACAAGACACATTTTGAAACGGAGCAGCGATAATTTTGAGGAGGAGGGCAATATTATTATGCTTTCGTTTCAAAGAACACTTTCAAACAAAAAATAAAATACACTGGTTTCGTTCCAGATAATCTCCTTAACTTAAAATTGCTTGTATTCATAGTTATTCGGTTTCGTAATGGCATTTAAACTTTACTCTTTTCTTTCACAAAAGAGGGCATAAAGACTCTGCGATGGAGCAAAACCTCTAGACACTGGCCTATAATTACATGGGAGGTGGAAAACAGGGGCATTGCAATAGAACAGGACACAAAAATATATCCTTTGTGAATTTCTATAATTGTAGAGGTGGGCACTGAGGCATGGCAGTAGAGCAACAAAAATACTCACTTACCTGCGTTTTTCATAGCGTTCTCCACAATGACCGCCGCGTCCTCTCTCGCCATTTCCTGTAGCTGTGCCAGCAAAGCTGTTGTCGCCTCGCTTGTCTTATGGTCCGAGTACCTTGACAAATAACTGATCTTTAAAATACGATAATTTAAAAAAAAAGAGTTCATGTTTCTGATGGCCCTAAGGTGTTTTAATTAACACGTTCAGAAAATTCAAGCCAATTGCCTCGGACACAAATATGGAAGCGGTTTCTGTTTAAATTTGAATCTACTCCTTTTTTTTTTTAGTCTTCTCGACCCTCCGGTATACTAAACAAAGGAAATCAGAAACTATCGTTTACAACACCGAGATGGCTTTATATCATAGTCGAAATTCTTTCTATTGATGAACTTTTCTTTTTTTTAATGAATCGGAAGCCGGTCTTTCTATGGGAGTTTAACTAGAAGGAAAATTTGAAGAGTCAGAGGCACTACATGTATATAGCAAGCTGGTTCGTTTCTGAAAAGGGTCTTTGACACTCCACTAGAAATGTTTCAAACTATCGCCATCGGCTCTGATAAAACGTGATGTTTCGTTGATCAAATAGAGGCGCTTTACAATTGATAGTTCAAGTCTACGTTTAAAATGATCTTTGCACACTTTACAGTGTTACTCCTTAGAACAGTACAAAGATGCAATGATATTGTAGGAGTGTTACAAAAAGCATTGTTAGGTTGATGGGTTGTCTTTTCCCTTTTGTATCTCAGAGGATTGAAACATCATGTAATGCACAATCTTCGACACAGTTCATCCTTTCTCAGAGTGACTTACTCTACAAAAATGACTAGATCAGAGTTTTGTCTTTCAAGTGAGAAAGCACCCATCCCCCCCCCTCACACTCACTCACACACACACACACACACACACACACACACACACACACACACACACACACACACACACACACACACACACATATATATATATATATATATATATACACACATTTTCCCTCGCCGCCCCCCCCCCCCTCCCGATGCAGCTAAATGGAAAGTAAAGACAGAAAGGGTGGGCAAGAGGGTACTATTGTTCCACTAAATGGGTACTGCTCATACAATTTGTTCCTTTTTAAAAATCTCTGTTTGCATTCAACCGGCTCCCGGAAACTTAATGGATCCAGTCATTTTCCCTGGCTTCAACAGTTACAGCCAGAACGAAGAAAGACAGCAGGAAAGAAAATAGAGACGATGTACAGAAATAAGTATCGAACATTCACATCACGGCATAGAAGATCATATTATGTTTTATTCTTCTTTCATTTAAAACGACAGTCAGTTAACTGTTTGCTTAAATGTGAAGATTCTATCGCTGATGCTACTGTTGCCGCTGTTGCCGCTGTTGCCGCTGTTGCTGCTCCTGGTTCGTCTGCTACGGTACTGCTACTGTCGTTCGTGTGTGTGTGTGTGTGTGTGTGTGTGTGTGTGTGTGTGTGTGTGTGTGTGTGTGTGTGTGTGTGTGTGTGTGTGTGTGTGTGTGTGTGTGTGTGTGTGTGTGTGTGGTTGTCTTTGTCTCTTTGGGTCTCTGTTTCTTCATCTCGAGACTGACAGTAACGTATATACAGATGTAAATAATCAGGAGCGGCTCCTGGTCTGTGGAACTGACCGTCCTTAATTCCCATCAATACCTCCTCCCCCCCCCCCTCAAAAACTTCACCCCTACAACAATGACGGACAGACAGACAGACAGACAGACAGACAGACAGACAGACAGACAGACAGACAGACAGACAGACAGACAGACAGACAGACAGACAGACAGACAGACAGACAGACAGACAGACAGACAGACAGACAGACAGTTAGTTTTATACTTACCGGTACACCCTTAGGTTAGTGTGTGTGTGTGTGTGTGTGTGTGTGTGTGTGTGTGTGTGTGTGTGTTTGTGCGTGTGTGTGTTTGTGTACGTGAGTGAGTGAGTGCGAGAGAGGGAGAGAGAGTGAGGGTGAGAGAGAGAAAGAGAGAGAGTGAGTGACAGAGAGTGAGCCAACAAAAAGTGACCGGCGACGCCAGTGAAAGAACCGCCCCTGTAAATCATAATTAATTGCTGTTTGTCTGGCATATTTCCACTCCCTCTTTCTGATGTCATCCCTCTGAATACATTCTTTACGAAACGAACCATTTATTAAGCATCGCCGTGCTTGGGTCAGCCAGCTGGGCCCATGACTTCACATCCTGTTTACTGTAGCCAAGGCGACTACTGAGCAGACGCCAATCCTCGCTGCATTCTTTGTTGAGCAGCAGAGAAACATCCTTAACCCAAAATGGCGCGTGGCTGATTGTCTGAGAAAAAAAAGCGTTGCAACACTATTTGAGACACTGTCCTTTGAGACTGTTTCTTTGTTGTCGTTTCTTTCTTTCATGCTTTTTAAAGAAAAAATTAGGTTTTGTTTATGCTTCTGTTTTTTAGGGAAGGGGGAGGGGGTGAAGGGAGATGGCTGTTTGTTTTTCTTTTGTTGTTGATGATGTTGTTGTTGTTGCTGTTGTTGTTTTGTTTTGTTTTGAGTGAATGCTTTTGTTCAGTTCTTTATTGGTTCTTTCCTTTTGTGGTTTTGGTCTTTTTTTTTGGGGGGGGGGATGATTTTGGGTCGTCGTTGTTGTTTTGTTTTTTTTATTGTTGTTTTGTGTTTGTTGGTTTTGTTGGGCTTTCTTTATTGGGTTTTTTTTTCGCATTGTTTTTTTTTTTAATAAACAGGGTGGGTTGGGGTGTCAGGAGGCGAGGTCAGTGAATGGATTCTTTCATTCCTGTGGATGGGGGAGACACGTATTATTTCTGAAAAAAATAACTGCACCCTAGACAATGTCGAATAGTCAATAACTGGTGCTTTTTCTTCTTTCTTCAAAAAGTTGTCATACTAGACATACAGTCATGTGAGTATAAGGTTCTATAAGGCCACCATATATATGATATAGATGACTAATATTCCAGGACAGTTGATCCAGATTCCTGATTTAATAACAGTAAAGACCATACAGCAATGACCTTACAGTAAACGACTATAACCTCCTCCTTGTGTAGCAGCCAGTTATCCTTAATAAATCCAAATAAATGTATTTATCTATTCTTTCGAAAGGTATAAACTTTTAATACAAGAGTGTTAGGTAAAACAAAATTAATGGACTTGTGGGGATGGTGAGGAAGGAGAGGTTAAATTCTATAAATAGTGGCTGTCGTCCTTGCTCCTATTAACTTCAAGTCAGAGGTCCTGGCTTTCTAGAGGCGGTGTGGTGAAATCAGGCGCTCGTCAAAATACAGAAATCGAAAAAAACGGGCATTTTTCCGCCAGTTTGGAAATTTTTATCGAATTTGGGGGGGGCTCAACTCCTTTAATATCCAATGAAGAACACATTTCTGTGGTGGATTTTTA